ATTGACTATGCATATCGACATAAGATATCTATAACAATATAATAGGTAGTGTATAATGAATTTATAAGCCAAATTATGTTATTAATATTGTATTATAAAAATATAAAGAAAAAAGAAGATTTTTACTCAAAGCTATAGTGTTCGACAAAATCGATTTTGGTTTTTGGAGTAACTCTAAAAAAATGATCGTAAATACATGAAATGTTCACTGAATGTTTATATTAGAATTTTCTATACACCATACAATTTTCAAAATATATTGACGAATTTTGAGATATTTATAGACATAAGAAATTATCGATTTCTATTAGTTTCTTTAATTAATGTTGATAAAAAATTTTTCACTTAGTCATAAACAACAAGTCGTTATCTTTCGTTTAATCACAATAATATCATAAAATATAATTAGTAATATTATATGTTGACAGACCATTATAACTTCACTGAAAATCATTTTTTGTGTACAACGATTTTATATCATTGAATTCGAATTGAACACATTCATTACAGTGAACTTCTCAAGACACTTAATATACAGCAGGGTGTTACCCATATTGCCTGCTATTTTACCAATGAGTTATAACAATACCTATACCAGTTATATATAGTACATAATAAATGACTACAGCTTGTGAGGAAATTTAACGAATTGAATATTATGTATAATAGGTATATTATACAGTTAAATGATAGAACTTTTAATAATGAAAAAAAAACACAAAATGCACATCTTATCTGGTTTTTAAGTCTTTCGCTGTACTTTTTATGTATTTACCTTATTACCTATATACTTAAACTTTTATATTAGTTTCATGCAATACACAAACCGCGGCCAATGACTTTTGTAGTCGAGGCCTTGTATGTAAAATAAAAAAATAAAAATAAAAAAAGAACTGATAAATACAATCTGTCATCTTCGCACGTTTATCATATCAAAATTGGCGTCAGTACTTCTAATATTATGTCCTTCGTTTATGATTAGACTATATTATTGCGACTTAGACCTGACCTACCATATATATTTATATATAAATTTACGTCAGATTCTATACTCATTACTCATCTTCTTTTAAAAAAAAAATTTATATTTTAAAGTAGCTATACCGAGACTTAATTTGTATATTGTCCTTTAGTACCTATACTCTACATCATTCTTCATCTTTTGTATTTGTACTCAAACTTTACTATCTGTACTATTGGGAATCGGCCCTTTTATTCTACTGAATAAACTATTATTATTATTATTATTATTATTATTATTATCGTAAAAATATCGAATTATGATGACATTCCAAACGAATTCAGACACTTAAATGGTCACAAAATAATATTTTATAAATAGTTAAATAATTGCAATATTAATATAAAAGAACCTACATATTATAAAAAGAGTAAATATAAAATGAAAAAAATCGTACCGTCATTCTTTGATAACCGTGTATATTATAGTGGAATATGTCAATATATATTAGAATGTGATAAATAATACTGGAGCACACGGGTTGTAACATTTTTAACCAAAAACGAGCTTTCATTTCCAACTTAATTAGGTATTATCTTTAGTTTAGTTTATACGATACTAATTTAAAAAATTGATACAATTAATGGTTATTTTGTTTTAAAAGAAATCTTATTGGTTTAAAATGTCTGTGGCGCACGATGAAAACGATGAAAACGATTTAAATATTGTTTATTTTTGGTCGAAATGCATTGCATAAAATAGAAATGTAAAGCTTTATATCTACTTCTTTTTTTAAAAATAATAATAAACAATGAAAAATGGTTTAGCACCTTTAGAGATCAAATACGGACATTGTTATTTGTTTGTTTTATTAATAAAGCTGATCGGCTATTATCACAGTGTTCGTGGTAAATGTTTATGCAAGAGATATAACATGATGAGCAGGGTCGTCATTTCAACTCTTTGTATGGTATGCTAACAACTAGGAAGGCCAAAAAGATTTTTAGAAGGTCAAAATATATGTTGTGCTCTAGAGTTATTACAAAAAAACCTATAAAAAATGCTATTGGCAAGTCAGGGATCAGCATGTAAACTTTCTTGATCTTTAATTTTTTGAAATTTATTAACTGATATCTCACCCAAGCGGTATAACAATTTGAACCCAGTAAAATGTCGGTGTGAACAGCCCCAAAAAAAATCCTTTTCATTTTCATTTCCTCTCCGAAACTGGAGAGCGGATTTCGTTGTTGGGGGTCTTGTTAGATGCACATTGGTTATAGGAGAAGTGTTTTTTTTGTGTTTTTCAACTTTACAGCTTTATAGTGAACTAACGATTGGAGCTAAAGTTCTGAAAATCTTCACTGCACTTCTCCTAGCCAATGTGAATCTAACAAGACCCCGAACAACAAAATCCGTTTTCCAGATTAGGAAATCTATCTCGCTAAATGAAAATCTAGCGAAAAATAACTCTTTTTTGTATCTGTAAAAAATTAAGAAATTTTACATTTTACATTTTGTATCTACTTGATAATCCCTTTTTAATGAGTTATCAACCAATTTTCTAGCTATCATACTTCAGGAGAAAATTTAAAAAATAGAAATTTTGGGATCGTTCACTCCGACGTTTTTATGGATTCAAGTGGTTACACCGCTTGGGGGTGATATCAAATCTCTCTCATTAACATTTTATTTTAAACCTAGCTAAATTACCAACCTACTCATCATTACTGAGGTAGGTACATTTTTATTATTTTCCTGTTTAACACAAATTCTTGAAGTTTTCAAAATTTAGAATTTTTTCATTTCAATTACCTACCATATTTACTTGATTAAAAATCAAGAAAGTAAAATGAATCATTATATTTTCCATCTAACAATCTATAATATATTATGAATATTGTATACCTAACAATACTAATAATTAACATTGAAATTATTTCAATTTCAATTTAAATATTTATAGACACTATATTGTATCTAAAAACACTGTAATTTGTTATTTTTAAATACTGGACCTATAGGGTCCTAGGAACTAGGAAGTTATACATTGCATTATAAGTATACATAAATAGAGTGTATATGTCGCATCCACTTAATGTAATCGTATTTTTCATGAAATGGATATCCATTTCATGAACAACGATCATATCGTGTAAGTCAAATTTTAGTTCATGAAATGGACATATATTTTATCCATTTCATGAAATGGAAACTCTTATTTTACACTTTGTGTAATATTTTTAATTAATTACATCAATAGGTAACTTTTTGTGAAATCGAAATAATAACATTGATACGAGTACATTTTATTACATTTATTCATGATTATTATAATTATGTAATATTGTATTATAATTATATTTTATATAATCGCATCAATTGTATGAGTGTAATAGCACTCTGGAAAGTTTTTATTTTTATTTTTATATGATGCCAGTACGTTCTCTGACTTGATGCGAGCCGTATATTAACGTTCATTACAAGGAATACAATTTATAAAATGGAATTTGATTCATTTGCTGAATATTATGAAAAATTAAATGCCTACTATGTAGGCAAACCCGGGAAAAAACCACCCACCAAAAATGAGGTTCAATTAATAATTGAAGAAATATTAGCGGCCAAAATAAAAATGTAAGTAATTGTTAAAATATACAAAATATTTAAACTTCAAATAAAATTATAACAATCAGCCATCAGGGCTTGTATTTCAAAAAACTATTTTGTTTTATGTTATTTGGAATTAAGAGGTCTCTGTCTTACTAACGTACATTATAACAAATTTTCATTCAGTAGAATACATTTTGTGATGTTAGCTTTAATATTAGAGTAAATTTACCTATGATCAAATTTAAAGGTAAGAATATTATCTAGACAATGACATATGTTTTTAATGATATTATTATTTTAAAGTGAGTTATGAACATTTTAAAGTTGTAATATTGATTTACAAATTGGTGATTGCGTCTTAATAACAGTACCTAAAGTAGATCGAGGACCGTCAGATCCTGCCAATGTAATTGCAGTTATTGTCAATCAGAACGAACATAAACTGCACCAACTCGGAACTCAGTATGGCTTAGTAAAAGGGTGGTACAATTCAGCAAGTTTAAAACCCGCGACATCTAATTTTTTAAAAATTACCGAAGTTAATAATGATAAAGAACTTACATTACGTGAAACCGTTTCTCATATTTCTGGGGGACAAGGTTTTTTAAGTTGCATTTGTAAACGCCAATGTGAATCAAAACGTTGTGCTTGTTTTAAAGCTTCGGTAAAATGCAACAGTCGTTGCTAGTAGCTCTAGTATTTGTAAAAATAAGTAATAATTTATTATTTATATAAATAATAAATTATTAATAAAAATAAAAATTATAATATAATAAATAAAAATGATAATAAAATTATCAATATTATTATTTCGATTTCACAATGATAATGATTATATAACTATTTATATTTATATAATTTATTATTATTATATAAAATATAATTATAATACAATATTACATAATTATAATAATCATGAATAAATGTAATAAAATGTACTCGTATCAATGTTATTATTTCGATTTCACAAAAAGTTACCTATTGATGTAATTAATTAAAAATATTACACAAAGTGTAAAATAAGAGTTTCCATTTCATGAAATGGATAAAATATATGTCCATTTCATGAACTAAAATTTGACTTACACGATATGATCGTTGTTCATGAAATGGATATCCATTTCATGAAAAATACGATTACATTAAGTGGATGCGACATATATAAGACAAATCCTGAAATCCCCAGTCAGCCCAGTCACATAAAATATATAAATATATAAATAATACAAACATTTTATATTTCATTTAAATAATACATCAATAATAATACCACATGTCCATATAGTTGCCTATACTTGGAAGTTATAAGATAAAATTTAAAAAAAAGATTATTTTTGCCCGGTGCAAAAAAATTATAGTCATGCCAAAATGTAATCTTGATAAGTTTTAGGTATATTAGGTATAAACATACCCTTTTTTTTTCCGCCGTTCAAAAACCGGGAACGGGTGGGAACTGTTTAGCACAATACTGCGCCACCATGCATGAGCATGTACCCCGCATGACCTCAAAGTACTTCCTTGGATAATTGTATTTAATATAGCTAAGTATTAAAGGTACATATTGTGCTGGACGCAAAAACTTACCTAAGAAGTTTGCGGCAGTGGAGTGCGCGTATCCGGACGCGGCTGCGGCGGCTGCCAGGTGTCCAAAGCTCAACGGCTGCTTGAAGAACCCGTTGGCCGCCGCCGTGGCCGCTGACACGTTGTTCCGGCCGGAAGCTGCCGTGACGGCCGACACGTCGGACGACCTGGACGGAGCGAGTATGCTGTCGATGGTAAACAGTGACGAACCGACGGCAGACGTCTTCGGCACGACCGCGGAACCGGCCGCCGTGCAGGTGGCCATCGCCTGTCCACGGGCGTCGGAGTCGCAATCGCACTGTTCCCGCGGCGACGTCAAGCCGCGTTCGTCCACCACGGCTGTGGCGGCGGCGGCGGAAGTCGGTGGCCGTTCCGTGCGATCCACGTCGTCGCCGAGACCCGCAGAGGCGCCGTAAACAGCACCGCCGCCGTCGCACGTCGTCCCGCCGAGACGTCCGTCCAATTTCATCGGTTTCTGCGGACCTGAATGTACTATAATTATGGTACCGACAATTTTTGTTCTGTTCGCGGATCGGGTACAGATAGGGCAACGACGGCAGCGTTCACCGTACGGCCGCAATCGTCATCGTCGGTTCCGTTTTTAAATATTAGTAATTTTTGTTACGACTGATAACTGCACTACTCGCGATAATGATATATTATATTATTAGAGAAATACTATCTAAATAACGAAAATCGATTTATCCTAAATATATTTAGTTATGCGGTGCACGTAGACGATATAAATAATATGTATTATATTCAGTGTTTTGCAGTATTACGCGCCAACGATAAACGTTTAATAGAGCCGTCAATCGGTTAAGTGCCGCGCGTTACGTTTGATTACCGCCGTCGCGGACTAGTGTGCGGGCTACAGCGGGGTGTCGGCTACACCGCGTCGCGATCGGGTGTCGCGCGCGATTGGTCGACTGCCTGCGGGGCTGGTACACCCCGGCTCGCCGTACGGTCCCGAGGGGGCGTGTTCGGCGGCGCTCGCATAATCGGCGCCGTTCGGCATTTATTCGCCACCCTCCGCTACCCACCCACCCACCCGCAGTCCACGATCACCACCCTGCCGCGGAATACCGATCACCCCGCGCAACGTTTTACCGCCAACGCACGCCACCGGTCCCTATCTTCGTATTTACACTGACACATGGGTAGCGCGCGCTCAGTTTCCTCACCAGCCGCCGCCGCCGCCGCCGCCCCTGATGCTATTTTGTGATTTGTCAACATAATCCATCGCCAATGGCACCCTACCACCCTGGAGACGAAATTCTTCCGAACGCTCGCCGAATAACATCGTATAATGACGATGATGATATGACATTTTCTAAACATTATAATTTAAGATATTTACAAACGCACCGTAAAGTCGACTGCCCGCAATAGTAGGATTATAATTTATTATTATATATACGTCTGCTTATATATTCGAGTTGAGCCGAGCAACAAAGTTTTGTTGGGTATCCGCGGGTATTATATACGCTGTACTAGCTGAGCCCTGGATTCGTTTGCAACTTGGGTGTAATAGTATCCTCTACCTGTAGGTACTCTCTAGTTTAAACCTTACAAAGTTTCACAGGTATTCTGATAATAAAATATATATTAATATGTATAATATTCGATATATCGCCAATTTAATAATTAGGGTTGGACGCTTTACCCATCCTTCCGGCCCTATATGAGATTTGTTTTTGGCAAAAATTAGTTCAATCCACCATATTAGTATTACTGCAGATTACCATATTATAATAGCAACATAAATATAAAAAAATATCCCCAAAAATATAAGATGCGACAGACCGATATCAGAATGACAGAACCAGCTATTTCTAATTTTTGGTAATAGATTTAGTATATACAGTATAAATATGTTGATTATAAGATGTAAATAAATATAAAAATAATTTATTGTTAAAACTCAAATCATCAATCCCCCGACCGATGAACCACCGCACTTATATTTTTTCTGTCGACTGTCAGTGGTCAGATACAACAACGATTATATTTATTTTTGTCGCTTCCCTTTAGATGGGTTTTAAACTTTTAAGCAAGCATGGTCCTTTTTCTATAATTATTAATTTTGTATAGGTACTACACATTGATTACACAGATTAGACAATATAGCTAATGATTAGTATTTTATATTTGTATTTATTTGAATATTGCAGTTTATACGAATGATTATATATAGGCACCTATAATTGTATGTTTTATACCACTGATGACGGAACCAAACACATAATTAATAGAAGTCGACCAGTGCCCAATACATTTATAACTGTTTTAGTTTTAATATCTTAAGAATATGGTAGACAAAAACTCGTCTTAACTGTCATATTTTTTTCTCAATTATTTTACCGTTTATAAAAACACTATATATACAACTGTTTACCTATAAAATACATATTGTACCTATAAAAACTATAAATACAAACATATATGTACATCTATAGTGGCTTTGAAAATTATGAAAATTTCCTTATTATGAATAAAAATTATAAAATTATAAAATGTTTTAATATAATATACAATATGGCTTTCAACTCACTGCAATATCTCACAAAAAAAAATTTTCAAAATGCACCATTCTAAAAAAATTTTATGATGTACCTATATAGTTAACTAAATTATACCATATAGGTACAATTACTTTTAGAAAAATATAGATTAAAATTTATATAAAAGGACTTTTATCAAAGAATTTGGACCAGAAGCTTCTACAGTTTACGAAGCTAAATCCAGATATCTATGCATATAAATAAATACCAGATGATAGTCTTAGAAATTGATTAATCACTAACATATATAAATTATAAAGTATTGTTGGTATTGTAAGAAATATATTATATATAATAGATAATTAGTATTACAAATAATTAATATATGTTTCGATTTATTTGATATAAGTAAATAGTCCCGGGATAGAAAACGTTTTTGATCAACGTTTTTAAAAACGTTATTTTTTTATATCGTTTCCAAATAACGTTTTTGATAACATATATTTTTTTAAATTCTTATAATAGAAACGCACAATATAATATAGGTTAACCTACTTAAAAGTTAAAATTAATTATTCTTAATATTTAAATTTAACCGACTAACCTAATTATAATTTACACGTAAATAAAAATTTTAATTTTAAAAGTGCATTAGTAAAGTGAAGCACTACTTAGTTCTGGAGTAAAATGTAAAAACGATCCTGAATTCAGAAATTTAACATACAATAACTATATGAAATATAAAAATCAAAAAGTTGCTCTTAGCATTGACCTTTACTTAACAATTAATTATCAGGATTACCAATTTTTCGATAACAGAATTATTATTTTATTATAGTATAATTTATTTTCGTTTTTGATTTTCTTTCGTTCAATAGCGTTTTTAATTTTTTTCAAACTTTAATTTTTTATTTGATTGCGACAGTATATTTTGTTGGATAAATTGGATTTCATTTTTCAATGACTGGAATAAATTGTATTTAAATCGTAAACAAGAGCTGCATTAGTTGCAATCAAACTAATAAAATAAAATTATTTGTATATTATATAATATTATATTCATATCCACTATAATATTATGTTGTTAAATATTGTATAAATATGATTCTTGGAAAAAGATGGAACCTTATAAAATAACAAATACATTTAATTTAATATTTTTTACATTACAAGTTTTCATGTTTAATTTTATTGCTTTTTAAGAGTTTCTCGGAGATTGTTCTAGGAAATTTTTTAACCACAAAACATTTTTGTACAATGTACATAATAGGTATATATAATATTATAATGGAATAGGTACATTCGTAATTTAAAGAATATTATTCTTAATTATATTATTGTTTTGTTAATAATTTTTAATATTTAAATTCTATTACAATGAAATAATGTTTTGTTCGCTAATTTGAAGCTCACAGAAAATAATAATTTTTTTTTTTTTTTTTTAAATGCCCTGGGGCTTTATATTATTTAAACGACCCAAAGGTCTTTTAAATATGTTTGTCAATTATACATATTTTACATACTAGATATAAATTATATATACATTACACGTTGATGGAGTCACTTCCAATAAAGTGTCCCTGCCTTAATCTAAAATCTTAAATTAAGTCGTATGGTTTCAGACGCTTAAGACTTCTGATATCCTTGGAGCTCTCTAATAGTTGAATGGCCAATGAATTGACAGGAGAGTTCGGAGACTGAGGTCTTTGTGAAGTGATTTGTCTTTAAAAATCAGGGAGTTCCTGTAATTAGCCTAAGACTAATGTACTGAAAGAACCGAAGTGGACTTATACATTCGAATACCCGCGTAGGACCAGACTGGTTTTATAATAGTTTTATAGTTTAGGAGTTTGTTAGTGAGAACTTAAATTATAATTTTCCATACATAATGCAATTTTCAAAATATAAATTAAATATTTTAAACTATTTAATATTTAAAGTAATTTGAAATTTGGAAATTTGTTTAGTTTTTTTTTAATGTTAAAAAAGCTTGGACATGTAATTCAAGAGTCTTCATAAGTTGTACTTGCAATAAACTAAAAATATCAAAAAAACATATTATGCAAATATTTTTGTAAACATTTGAAATTCCAATGTTTACAAAGTCGGATATTTAAACGAAAAATAACCAATTAGTTATTTTGTTGTATTTCAAAAAATATTATTCACAGGAACTTAACACCTTTCACCATTTTACATATATCATTATTTAGTAATATTTACTAAAAACATGGAAATTGTATACACGAATACACCCAGTGGTGTATCAAGGGGGTGGCTAAAGCCACATTGACTGTGTTGACCTTAGAATTTTATCAAGATTAATAAAAAAATAAAAATTTTAAATAAAAGACATATTGTATTTGTATATTTTGTATATTTTTTTTGTGAGTCTTAGCCCCTCTCCCATACAAAATTCCTGGCTACGCCACTGAATACACCTACACAATGTAGTAAATTTCTATAATAGTAACAGTATGAAGTATGATAGTATTTACTATTTATCCATAGACCATAGGTAAACTATAATAATAGGTAGGTAGATACTAATAGTAGTACCTAAATTAAGGGGATTGGAAGTGGTTTATAAAAGATAAGATACGATATGTTGAAATCGAAGCACTCCTATTCTGGTATACATTTTGTATACAAGATAAAAAAAATAAATAAATAAAGACCATTGTAAAACCACTAGATCCCTCTCTCCACTCAGAATCTAAAATTGACAAATTTATAAAATTTAAAATATTTATTCTCATCAAAATATTGCTACAATTTAAAAAGTCTTTCGACCGATGCAAAGTAAACTTGTATACCAACCAATCGTCTTTACGTTTTTTAAATCAAACAACTAGAATTACCTTATTTTTTGTCAGGTGTATGGCTATTTTTCCTCGTGTGTTACACAAAGACAGAGAATCATCACCTCTTCCAATCCCCTTAAATCACGATTCATAATAATTCG